ACAAAAAAACAAGTCATCCTTGACAAAAAACATTTTTTGACAGAATATTTTTGATTAAAAAAAAACAGAAATTCCAAGGAGTATTTCAACAGAAATCCATATCTTACTAACATTACATTTGTAAAAATCAGACAGTTTAAACTTACTCCCCAAAATCTATTAAGCAATTTAGTTGACTAAGAAACATCCATCCATATAAACTTTCGTATTTATTATCTTAGTAACATAATAGTTAATCACCTCAATGAATCCCAGTGCATCCTGGCAACCCTCAATCCTGGGAAAGTGAATAAAGTGCCAATAAAGGCCGCCCACACCGCCAGAGACAATTTTAATATTAATTTGGAAGCTGGCCCCCTGGAAGTATACATGAATTATGAAAAAACCACAACAAAGAAATATGTGTAACCTACTTAATACTTGAAACCAAAATAAACATTTTTTATTTTTGTAAGTGTTGTCATTTTATTTAAAAAGAATCTATTGAATCATTTTCACATCACATAATAACTTACACTGACGATAATCCTTGGTTCTCAAGAAACTTAGATGCATTTTCATAGAAGCTATCATAAGCTGGATCCACACCTACTTCTAGATTAGACTCGTCAATAATCAACACCATCATAGCTATCAGCAGGAAGGCGCAGAACGACACAATGCATGTCGACCTCTCTCCAATGGACTCATCACTTGTGAAGTACTGCTTTGTTAGGGATAGCAAGATTTTGCTGTTGACATATTAAGGAAATTAATCTCTCTGAGGAGTTCCAATGAATTAATAGGTGTATAACCTAAATTTAATTTTAGAAAACATCTAACAAACGAAACAGCGCCATGGCTGCATTTTGAACCAATTATTTTAAAATTCAAATTTCAAATTGAATATTTACCAGTTTCTTATTTTAGAATTTGTTTATCTTATACATAGATATAAAAACATCTTTTAGAACAGATTTCATAAGTAAATATTCTATTGGGCTTAAAAACGGTTTGTCTAATCTTTGTATTCAAGTTTTCATATCAAAGACAATTAACCTCAACTCTTGACCTAACATGGGTAACAAATGATCAATATTCTATATCAAATTGAATTATTAAAGGATACAATGTAAACAGGACCACAAGTAGGCACCAAACCATACTCAGATTGAATTCATCCTTCAACGGGAATAAGCTTGTATATATCTGAAATACAAATGCATACAAATGCTGTATTAAACACTACCTTTCGCCCACGACATTGTCCGCATGGTATTAAAAAAAAATGGGTAGTCTATGTGCTCTTCCAGACTATCCTCTACATCTATCCAAAATTTCTTCGAAATCAATTCAGCCATTTAGGCTACAAACTCTAACAAACATCTATCCATCTAAACATTCACATTTATAATATTAGTATGATTAATTCTATCCCATTCTAAATATTGTTTATGCCTTTCCATATTAAATATTAATTGAGAACTTTAAGATTAAAATATGTTGTAATACTTATAAATCTAAATTAATTCAGCCAACAGTCATGCTAGAATACATATTAGTCAGGCCTTGACTACTACTGCAGATATGTTTATACAAGACAATATACTTTATTGTTTGAATATTTGTTTAGCTCCTCTGGTCTAAAACACTACTATTTTGTGACCACTCACCTCAGACAAGATATAGACGATGCTTGTATATAAAGAAAAATCAACAATCCATAAGTACTCAGAATAAAATCTTAAATGAACAACATCTAGTGCTGTAACTGGTGCTGTCTCAAGCTGCAACTCCAAACTACGAGGCACATGAAAAGTTTCCGGCTTCCCGTTCTCTGATTTGCCACTTTTTTTACCCTTCGGCTTATCCTTTGGTACACCAGCTAGTGTTTTTAATTCATTGTTATCAGGATATAAGTATCGATATAATCCTTGAGAACATAATAACCATCGAGCAAATGAATATTTGCTGAATTTTTGTATTATTGATACCATAATAAGGGTTATAACTAATTGTGCGCCTAGTAAAGCCTGAAATAATAGTATATAGTTAAAATATCTTCAAAAGTTGAAAGAAAACTTATTCATAGGTTGTATAAATATACATTTTTGTATGGCCTATTTAGACATACCATTGCAATTTTCTTTTTAACTTCTTTTACCAGTATTCATGGTCTAATTTTAATTGAATTATTTTTAAATTCATCCGGGATATAACCTTAATCTGTCATTCCTTGACATTAAAATACGGACAAAATAAAAATATCGTTATTTTTATTTTGTCGTGCAAAACGAAGGAGATACATTTATACATTACCGGGTTGAGTGATAGAGAAAGCTATATGCGACTCAGTTCATTGGGTGTCTTCTTAAGTTTAGGAACTTTCATTTTAGCCCAACATAGATAAAAAAACAACTTATTCTACCAATTTCTACAGTAGAGTATAAATATTGTTTTGTGGTAACGAGAAAATTCTTTCTTGGTAAACATTTTTACCCCCATTGTAGCTTAATTCTTAATGTACAAGAAAATCACATTGTTTTTCTACTACAGCTATAATTGAAAAACTAAAGTGAGCTATTTTATTAAGCAAATGTGTTTTCTATGGTATCACTTTTCAATCGCTATCTTCTTTTCTATCTCTGCAACATTGCGACAGTGTTGCCAATGCTACGGATTTTGCCGTGTTCTGTGGCTTTCTAGCCAACAATTAGCAATGAACAAAATTCTGCGTAACTCATTAGAATTTAAGTTATTATTAGTAGCTTCTACGACTTTCCGAAAATATTAAAAATAAATAACTTTACCTTAAAAATTTTCCTTTTTAATCGATATGATGATATTGATGCCCATGCGGTTCCGAAGTTGACTCTTGAAAGAATAATAGTCATTGATAACCAATAATTTGTACCTGGCCTGGATAATGTAAATAAAACATTAATAAGTTTTTTTAAGCCTTGAGAAATCAAATAGTTTTCATTTATATAGAAGGCTATAATATCGACATTGCTGAGTTTTTTTTTTGGTTTTTATGTAGTGCTACGGCTATCGTTCATCCTTTTCCATACAAATACGGATTTTTTACACAACATGCAGGGCAGGGTAAAAAAATTCATTGGCAACACAGCTTTGCGGCTTTGCGTTGCGCATTGAATGACGAATCCGCTGGAACTGGAAAATCATTAAGCTATCGATTTTGGCACTTATTTCGGTTTCGTCGCCGCTAAAGTCTGTTCGCAGACTGTTGCGACGAAGCCTATTTATTGTATGTTTTAATAGTGTAGTGTGAAAAAAACCGCAAAAATGGGTTCGCTATTTAGAAGTGAGGAAATGACTTTATGTCAACTATTTCTGCAAAGTGAAGCAGCTTATGCTTGCGTGTCCGAACTTGGTGAACTGGGACTCGTGCAGTTTCGCGACGTGAGTATTTATCAGTATAAACGCCCCTTGTTTTATTTGCAGTGACCCATGTTATTTTATTAGTTGAATATTTTATATCTATTGCAGTCAATGAGATGGGAACTCTGTGACCCCCTTTCACATTGATATCCTAAGGTTGTTCCAGTTTAAGACTGATAGATGCTTAGATTATTGATTTATTCCCTGTAATATATGCCCCACCTTTTCATAGAGACAAGTGCCATAAACTTTGAACATTTATTACAATGACTTTTTTATTCAAATTAGATAATCGAATATCTAAATTAGTAAAAAAAAAGAATATAATTATAGTATAGCCATAAAAAAATTCTTACTTTTTCAAATATAAATACTGCTCATATTATTTAGACTTTCCACACATATCCATACAAATGAGTCCTGTTTTACTTTCTATTATGGGTCTTATTAAGAAAGTGGTAGTTTTTCTGTCTATTTTGTAGAAACAAGTGTATTATAAGAGAAATCTGAATTAATATTACATCTTGTTGAGCAGTTAAAGCTAAATTCCTAATTGCTGCTTGAGTATTACATAATTCTTAGCAAATACATAAAAATAAATAGTCTTGAAAATTAATCAATCTTATCTCATTAAAATCATTAATGGTACTTGAATTAAGTAATTTACAACTGAATGTATGTATTTATAAGTTTATGCATATTTATGAGGAAAAGTATTATTTATATATAAAAATACAAAATCCTACATATATTGTTATACTTAATATTGTTGTTCATAACTACTGTTATTGCAAGTATTCAGTCAGAACAAAGATGTTATAACAATGTAACTGTGCAAGCATTTATTTGTTAAGTTTTCCTTAATTCATAACAGGAAATATTAACATGTTACATATAGTAATGAAATGAATAAATATGGAAATACATATGATAATAAAATAGGGCAGTATCTTGTATACCAGCTACTGCTGCAATGGGTTTACATACAATGAATTGTTAACGGATAGTAGAAGAGCGTCGGTGGCTCAGTGGTTTAAGCACTTGACTTGTAATCTACAGGTCTTGGGTTCGAATCCCGCAGTACCAATGTGATTTTCGATTTTTCGAATTATCATATGTACATAATTTACCCGACGTTCTTACGGTGGCCAGCGTAGTTGACTATGCCCTAGTCACTCTAACTTAAGGGTAGGCTCCGAGTCCCTCGGTGGGGACATATAGTGAGCTGGTGATGATGATGATGATGAATTGTCAACTATATTATATGAGTAGTGTCAGTTTCTAGTTTAGCTAGCTCAGTACAGCTACTGGCATGTTTCGAGCTATCATCAGAAGTATCTTAGGTCTTTGTATAGTGTTATGTAATAAAGAAGCATTACTTTTTGTTACTTTAACCGGTCATGTGATTCTCAATAATTGATTGATAAATTAATTTTGATAAAGCATGTTATCATAAAAAATTTAGATAATTTAATGAAGTAAAGATAAAAATTGTAACCAGAAATATGTTAATGATTCTTTATTGAAACTAGTTAAATTTACAATCTTTAGAAGTCTATGCTATCCAAAAATAAATAACAATATTAATATATTGCAAACTCCAGAAACATATGCAAATTTACATACCTACTGTCATATAACATCATCATCATCATCCCCTTATTCTACTCCCGTAGGGTCGGCGCAACAGCTTTTTGTCCTCCACATAACTTACTGTTATTTAACAATAAAAAATATCTAAATTAACCAATCCATACAAATATCAAATTTAAAAAATGTCTCTCGATAACATTTTTATATCTCATCATAATTTAGTTTTGATACATTAAAAAGTAAATATCTACAGCTGAATCCAGACGTGAACGCATTCCACCGGAAGTTCGTCAATGAAGTCCGTCGATGCGATGAAATGGAGCGCAAGCTTCGATACCTGGAGAAGGAGATCCGTCGTGACGGGATACCCATGCTGGAGATCCCGGGGGAGTGCCCCGAGGCGCCCCAGCCTAGGGAGATGATCGACCTTGAGGTAAAACATTACTAAAGTGCTACAGATTTATGGAAGAATACTGCCAACCCTACTTTGCGAAAAAGGGCAGAATGATAATGACTTTACTACAAAGATAACGCAAATGATCTAGTCGTAAATTTCTATATAAAACTTTGCTCTTCTGCAATAAAAATTTCGGTTTGAATGACAAGTAATTGTCGAGAAATTGAAAATAATGTTTCAAAATGATTAAAGGCGTGGTAGAATTGAGCCATATAATTTGTATTAGCCCCCCCTTGGGTTATGCGTAAGTGCATAAGTATGTGCTTTTTCGTACAGCATACCGTATTTTTGTACCACAGGCCACCTTCGAGAAGTTAGAGAACGAACTTCGTGAAGTCAATCAAAACGCCGAAGCATTAAAGAGGAACTACCTCGAGCTGACTGAACTCAAACATATTCTGAGGAAGACTCAAGTATTCTTCGATGAGGTAAGAGAAAAACTATTGTATATATCACGTTGTCATTTTATGAAATATATCGTAATGTGTTGGAGGTAGACGGGAAAAAGATTGGTTTGTTTAGTCCTAAAATCTAGATATTTGCTACATGAAAATTCTATCTACTTATAACATCGTCGCTATGATTACTTTTTTAATTCCAAATTAATTTCCCATATATTGTTGGAGTCAATTTATTCAAAATTTTTCTCCATATTGGTTTTAAGTCACATGATTTAATTATAAAAAATTAGCAGCGATCCGATAAAGTTATTGTAATTCGAGTAACTGTTTAGTCGTAAAATAATCGAGAGATAAGATAAATTCTTGCTGCAGATCCTTGTAATGCCAGCTTTAAGTTTGTCAACTAATTACATACCCTATTGAATTATGCTCCATCGTAAACTAAACACTGTTTTCTTGTATCTTAACAATGGTCAACATTGGACATTGTTTTACAACACGTCATTGTGGTTAAATGTGTTGACAATTCGATAGTACCATGTCAAGGATCAACGAAAAATTATTGACCACACGACAGTCGAAGGCACTATTACACTGAGCCAGGTTTCAATTGCTGTTGTAGAAAAAAACTAGCTCCACGCAGACCATACGGCTTTTAAATTGATTTTACAAGCCATTGTGTTGTTTTATTTTTTGTTATACTAAAAAAGAACTCAAGATAAACACTGATTAACGTCAACATCTAATTCTTATTTAAATACGTTAATTTCAGTCTCTAGTAACATTCTAATTTTAAATAAAATGTCTTCTCTTATTAAAAGTCCTTCATGTGCTTCATTTTATGACATTTTCATAAATTATATTTATTTTTTATTTGTTTATTTTTTCTATTAAAAAGTGTTTCAATGTCGATGTCACAATGCCGTTTGATATTTGGTAACTTTAATTTTGTAAAGAATGAGTGACATTGACATTGGACACAATAATGACATCGGCGCCATGTTGGCGCGTGTGTGCACAAGATGGCGGACCCGTCGCGCGAGGAGGAACAGGTGACCCTCCTGGGGGAGGAGGGCCTCATGGCGGGCGGGCAAGCGCTCAAGCTGGGGTATGCCGATTAACTTTGATCGCTCTCTGACGTGCCTTGACTTCCTTACTCCATCCTGAGCCACGTGGCATGGGATGTTTTATGAGTCAAAGCAAGTCGTAGAGCAGTATTATTTTTTCAGCGCTTGTACTGTGACGCTGACGCGGGAGTCTACCTCTCACCACTCAGGCAAGCATTGGAGTCAGCCGGTCTATAGTACATCATCAGAATAACACATCTCTTTAACTCCTTGTGTGATTGAATGATAGCCTACCGTAGCAATGTGAACCGCGTCCTTAGATTGACAATTCTAATACGAAATATCGAGGTCTAATACCGAGCTCCTGCGGATGCTAACCGACTGCTGCCTGAGTGAGTTTGACGACTAACAAAACGTTTTCCACGAACATAATTTATTTTTGAAGTCCACCCGGCCGCGTGTCCACGTCCGAGAGCAAAGTTATCGCATTATATATTTTTTTATATTTTTCATATCGTCATGCTTTCCGTTTTCCTGTCATATCTGCATGCATCTCTGAGTTCTGTACCCATTTATGTAGTCTAGCCTCACGAAGAGATTTTTTGTCGAGCGAAGATTTAGTCTTCTAGCGATAGACAAGAACGAAACACTGTACTCTAAACGAAACACCTATGCGAGTAGTATAAAACTAACAATGCAAGAAACGCTTTGGAATTTGTTCCGTAGTTAATATTTCGTAAGCACCGACATAGTCACGCGCTGGCGCTACTTTTTTCCTACAACAAGCAAAGAGTGTTGAGCCACTATAGGTCCATGTGATATGTCAGCTTTAGCGATGTGCCGTCCCAGGGTGATGTTTGTCTGTCTGTACATGTTTGTTTGTCCGCTAGCACGAGGGTGGTGCCAATACCACTGAATCGATGACGCGTGCGCTGATTTCCGACGACCCCAACAAACATATGGGACACGTCCAACTAGGGTATGTATACTTGTGTACATACGGCACTAGAGTGACACTGACCCACAATTACCTACAGCTGATCTGCAGGCTAATTCACGTTTTAAACTTGTATCAATTTCTTTAACACTTACTAAATGTTACCGTTCACGTTTCTGAAGTAAACTCCTTACTGCATTTTAGCTGTAGTAACAATTAAATAATCTCTATGTGAATGTTCCGGTTTGTGTTGTCATTATACGGACTGATTCTTTACAAGTTCGGGAAGCGCACGAGCGCGTCTCGGATGGTGTAATCAATCACGATGTGCTCACAAAGCAGACAGCTTTATTATTTGGTAAAGGTCGATTACATTAATGTTTACATAAAGTTGTTTACTAATCGGAAGTCGAAGTAACGTGTGTCACGATCACAGAGCAAACTATCACACTCCTGAAGATGGATCTTGTAAATGTTAATTTATCACAATTAAAAGGCGATACGGGCATGACGTAGATTCGGAAATTTGGACAAATGACGTTGGATAAAAAGTAAATGTTGGCGATGATGAAACAGATGTATGTAGAACACGACACAATAACAAATGCATGTTTGTTAAAGTATAAAGTGATCAAGTTGGAACAATCCTAAAATTTATCAAGTAATTTATAATGATGAATATTTTGTGATTGTTTCAATTTTAATGGTGAAGATATGTATTGTATTTTTGTCTAACACTGTGCTATTATTCCCTAGTTTTCGGGATAAGCAAGAATCCTTGGAATTCCTGCCTTGGTTAGTAGTGTACAAAGTTAATTATAGAGTAGTTGGGTATAGCTGGCGGCGGGTTGTCATCGTGTCTTGTAAATCGATCCGTTCGGCTGGACATTGCATAATTGAATACAAATCATATTAAATGTGATTTTTCTTCAATTCTGTAGCTTGGAAATTAATTCACATTATGCTTACTAACCTCTCACTATGTCACCTCTGTTCACATTGTCAATCTCTGTGTTATCGATGGTATCTTGGACTTCAAGAATAGATATGGATTAGGTGCGAAAATTGTAAATTCAGGAGAGTATTTCGCGTTTCGTAATCACATTGTTGTTGAAATTTCGTAACAAGTATCAATGACAACGAATTCTGTGCTCGATCAAATATTTCTTGTTCGATCTGTGTTTATTCCAATAGAGTTTTTGTTTTAAGGTTACCTGACAACTGATGTGAATACGAATTCGCCTCTACTTTCTATTTTGATTATTCTAACAGCGTCTTGGTACGAGTGTCTTAGTTATTAATGTATTATTACTTTATCTTGTCTCACGTTATTCATTCAAGAGCACTGAAGCGTGTCTAATTGTTCAATTATTTCCAAATAAGCGTTTAAAGTATTTGAGTGTGAATGCCATTGGTAGAAACCTTCGGGGATCAAGTATGGACTTGTTAATATACGTTGGCTCGTATTTGGCGATATTCTGTCATCATTCACTATACAAATGTTACTGGAAGTTTTTGATATCAAATACAAATTCAGAACGTAAATTCTATAGACGATTACGATGAGTTTATACTTATTGTTATGAATAAGGTAAATGTTTATAGTTTTCGATAAAATTCCGTTTCAATGATTGACAGTATTTCAAGCTTTATTTAATTTAGGCCACGAGGCATTTGTTTTCACATTGATGGATCTTAACTTGACGCAAATCGGCTGAATACAATTTAAGCTATAGCGAAATCAGAATTCAATTTCAACGTGCTAATGACCTTGGGCCGCTAAGATATTTGAAAAGTGTTATAATTGGGTACTACACGTTTTATTAAAATAACACAAATCTACTATACGAAAGTGTCCAGTTAATGTGAATAATATTTTGTACAAGTTTCATGTGCGAGATGATTTTTCGAATACCATTCCGTCATAGATTGCTGAAAAGACAAGCCATTTATCTATGGCTTAAAGTGACAATGCTGGTCGGTGAGATTAATGTGTCGCCATGTAACGATGACAATGATTAAAAGTAACAAGAGACAGTATAATTACGTTTTTAATTATGCGACCTGGATTCAACTAGTTTGGTACTTTGAAAATTAAATATGGAAGGATTTATATTTTATTAGCATACACTTCTAATTACCGTAACATAATAGTAAGATGGGCAATAAGCCCATAAGAAAATAACTGACATTAAATATGTTATTTTTTTTTGTTTTCATTAGGTAAAAAGTGGATACAGTCCTTGTCCCAGTAAGAAGAATTCATGCTAATTACGTATAACGGTATAAGCAACAATGAATACGACACTTTCAATTCCTAAAACAAGGCCTCATTGTACGAGTTGGCGGGAAATTAACCGCTATTGTCCGCTTTATCTGTGTAGAAGCGTGTGTCTGGTGTGACATAAAACACCGGTATTCAGTATATTATGATCGATTTATATTGAAAATGAGATAAGCACAAACAAAAACAATGACAATAGATAACGATGACGCATAATGACGCGAGTCTGTCAGATCAATAGACTGTTTGGAGGTTGGATGCCTATTCAGGTTTCATTTTGAGAAACTTCACTCATCTAAACATTTTAGGTTCAAATTTCGACGAGGGATTTGCAAATAAGGAAATGAGCGTCGACTAGCCAGTAGAGAATTAACAGGAAAAAAGATTCAACCCAATCTTAACGTAAATAAAAAAATGAATCTGTGGTCAAAAGATTTTACATTGCTTACGGGTAAACCCCAAATGACGGTGTAGTAAAGGTCGCGTGCCTTCAGAAGTTTCAGTTCCTTTAGTTTAACTTTTTTTCAATGACTTATTAGAAGTCTCTCGTGAATTCTTCTCACTATTGTAAAGAAATGCAAATATTTTGTATTAATCATATCGGTGACGTGATCCCGTTACCAGCGGTCACCCACCTTGCAGATCGTGACTGATATATTATCGCAACGAAAATTACAGTTTATAAAGTTTTACAATGTTTATGCACAGTGACCTCTTATAACCTTTTACATATCTGGTTAAGTACAAGGCGTTTATAGGTCAGTCGTAATTTAAAAAAAATATGCATTAACCAAAAAAAAAAAATTTAACACTTTTAATGAAATGAAAAATGTATCCAAGTATCAAATACAGTTAGTCCACTGAAGATGAATGTTGATTCAAACTTCTGGGAATCGAAAATTGCTTATAGTTCTAGTTTCTTCTAGTTTTATATATAAATGTGATTTATTTTCATTCCTATCTAGACATCTAAGAGTAATGCGTGCCACACTTATAGTATATCTATAGTAGGGATTATTATTCAAGGGCACATTTATCGGATATCTTGAGAATTTTGTCAATCAAGTCTCGTAAGATTTAAAAGTGATTCTGTGGAATATTTTCATACCATAATAAATAAAATAGACGTATAAAGTTATTTCTAGGGCATATTAATTACGTAATTGTTTATGCTTTTATAGTTTATAGCAGATAATATAAACCCGGAAAATGGTTGTAGTTTACACTGGGGAACAAACTGTTTTGTTTCCATAAACAATTCGTTATTGTTTTAATATAGACAATAAACTTCCATATGAATATCATAAATATATCATTGTATTTAAAGTTTTATCAATATGGGTTTACCTATTTTTGTTATTCCGGAATAATTGCACTTGCAAAAATTGCACTAAAATTTGAATTCTAAGACGCCCAGTTTTATAAATTTCGATCGAAACTCTTCAGCTGTAGGTCATAAATAACGGAAGTATATGGAAAAATCACTTAGTTTGTCAATAAGAATGTAAGAAGAGAAACGGTAAACCTTTTCGATGTCATTTGCTACAGACCACATAGACGGATTAAATAATTTTGATACTTTATAAGCATTACGGGAATTTTAAATATTTTAAACAAATAAGTGAATGATTCGATTGTAGTATATATCGACAGCTTCTTTGCTCATTGTATGGATAACGCTAAGGCTCTTGTGAGACTGGCAATTATTTGATATATTTTTTTTTATTTTTGTTTATTCCTTTATGACAGACTAAAAAGATCTCGCTATGTGAAATATCAAAGAATTGCTAGTAAATTATCATCAATTTAAAAAACATACGAAAATATTGTATTAGTATGTTTTTTTAATACACCTTTTATGTAGAGTTTTAGCTACATATTATGTGTACATTTAAGAAGATTTTGGTGGTTTATAAGAAGGTGTTTGCATTTAATTTAAAACGTTATAATAAATACATACAATAATTTAATAATAAAGATATTGTGAAGCTTTACATAGAAAACAATAGACAAAAATCCTTGCAGGTAAGTGATTTCCGATAATATTAATTGTGGAACGGTTAAAATTTTAAGGGCCTGTCCCAACAAATTGTAAATTGTCTGATCAATCCAACGTGTTAAATATATCATGGAAATATCAGATTTTGTTACCTTATCAGTCAGTGGTGGGACAGGTCCTAAATATCGTAAAATAAACATATCCGAATGTGAATAGGCCGATATTATCAACTTCTCTTTCCATCTCTTTCTCTACGGCGCTTTCTAACCTTCGATAGCATTTCATATAAAAAAAAACTTATGTATTAGTATGCTATGAAGTTCCAGACGTTAAATCATCGGATATTTCGTGTACCCAGACACTGGGACTTGGTGCCGTGCCAAGGTGAGCCATATCTATTATATCATCTTTACGTAAAGTCAAACAACATTGATACTAAACCACATACTTATAAAGAACACAATTGTAAATCTAACTTTAATCGCCATAATGCTCCATAGCAATTTGAATTCAACGTTTATGATGATTAAGTTTATTTTTGATTAACGTTCGTCTATTTGAGGAAATCGAAGTAAACCGTACGTCAATCGGATGGACGGTAATTCAATGCACGGCCATTAACAATCAAGATATTGTATAGCGTTACGTACTGCCTTGGTCATGTTATCTAGACAAATAAGCTTGAATAATATTTACATTAATTATTGTATTGTCTAATTGTGCAGCTATCAGAAGCGTGTTACTATGAGATTTGACGTAATGTCTTTCTAAAGCTGGGTTTAAAACCATTCTTAAATCCCTTAATTTGGTTAGCGATGTAGTTATTCAAAATGTTTATATATCTGGTAATAAGCGAATTAGAAGCAAATGTAATTTTATAATTATTACATTATTTTCGTTGATAGTTTTTCAGAAAACTACATTTTTTCTTGGGGATTGCCTTGTTTAGTTACCTCATTCAGGTGTATAAATAAACATTTTAAAATTCCGCTTAGTTCATCGTTCAGGTAAAACCATTTCATTCCAATTTCGTAAGGTTTTTCAGAAATAGTGTGCTCTAATTTTTTAATGGAATATTTCATTTCATGAAATATTATCTGTGACGCATTAATTCCGAGATTTCCTCAATGTGAATCAGCTGTTACCACTTCACGTGATAATATCTGTGCGGATGCAAATATACTGATAGCAAATGTGACCAATGTTCATTTAATTTTTTTGTAAGCCTCAAATGGCATATGGCCAATATGATCTCGACATCACCCTTTTTTTTTTAAAAAAAAAAGAGGACGGGCAATGATCCAGCCGGGATTCTTGTTAAAGCTTCAAAATACCAATATTAATTTTGCTTTCCTTTCATCGCAGATTGAAAGTGTACTGCCTTTGTCTGTCCGTTTAAAAGGAATAGAAAAAAATCTGTTAGGTCGTTTTTTACTGAAAATTTAACCTAGAAATCTTGTGAATTCTAAAACTAATGTAAAATTATTTAATTGGCAAATGAATATTGCAATCTAGACAATTATATCTAAAATGTTTTATCGCCCTGATACGAAACGTCAGCAGTATGTTCTTTTTTTAATAAAATTCCCCTAGTTTAGGTAAATGTTGACTTCCGTGACAGTCGGTATCTAAACTGCAATGCGCGTAATTACAGTTCAAATAAAATTTTATTTATATCACCGCGTACTTGACTAATACTAAACCGCAATGGCCCAGTGTGGTTGATTATTGCCTAGTCACCCCTTATTAGGTTAGGTTCCGAGCCCCTCAGTGGGGACATATAGTGAGCTGATGATATACTAGACTAATGGGGTAGGAGTGGTGTACAGTCGACAGTAACCACTCCTTTGATATATTATGCAATAAACGCTCTATTGTTGACTACATAAGTAAGTAGTCGTACACTGTCGTACCAAGTACGTTGAATATATGGTTGCCACTTCAACTTTTTGCAGAGTTATGAAAATTTATTTATTGACAGTATAATGCTGTAGCTATAAAAAAACCTGTTTACCGTAATTTAAAGATTGTGTAATGTTGTGGTTTTTTGATAGTTAGCTTTTTAAATTCGTATTCTTATTTGCGCCCAGGTAGCAACGCTAGTTTCAGTTTAATATGTGACGTCATAATGTAACCTGACGATCTAACGCCTTCATATGGTCTTTATCATAATTTGAATCCTGTTCTTTATTTTTTTGTTAAGTTTTTCAATCGATGTTAATATACTAATCAGCGCAGTGAAATGATCTATTGAATGATTTTCATACTTTTATCTACATGGATATCCCTTTGGATACATTTTGGTGTAATCTATTTAGGTCATAGAGTAAAGTAATCGTAAAAATGTCTAGGAGTGGCAACGATAACATAACACCAATTTTTTCAATAAAGAAATTTTCTTTGTACTCGATAACCTCAGAATTGCTGAAACGTTTTCTAAATGGTAAAATGTTTTTAATTATTACTAAACAAATGCACATCTACAAGTGACCTGAACATAATATATTAGTATTTATATCTGTATTAATATAATAAAAAGGAACGATTTGTATTTTTGTATGTAATAACTCAAAAACTACTGAGTCGATATTAAAAATTAATTCACCATAACAAAGGTAATTTACCTGTGAGTGACATAAGCTAAGCTACATCTTTTTATTAATTTTTAGTTTCACGGGGACGAAGTTGTACTATAAGAAGAAAAACCAATAGTTACATGATCAAGTATCAAGATGATGTGAAATATACTACCGCTATGAATTATGTTACGTCGATGCGACAAAATATATCTTTAGTACAACGTAATTTGTTTAAGCGATATTTAGAATTAAATGCGGTTAACGGTTAGCCGACACTAACTCCTGTAATAAAGATAAGCAACATTATCTCACGGATGTAGTCAGAGAATTTAATTTGCTTCCCATTTTTAATACGGTACAACACAGTCACCTTAAAGCCTAGTTTGATAGAGGCTAGATATTTAGTCGAGTACCCTAATTTTTTAGGTCAAATACTCTCGTAAATAAGTTACAACTTTGCTCATATGTATGTTGCTATAGTAGGTTTTTAACCTTTTTTGCATTGTTAGCGACAAATGACTTACCCATGGGTAGGTAATAAATGACCTCGACAGTACGGTTTATTAGCGGAGAGATGTGATTGGTCATATTTTCTTAAAACTTTTTTAATTTAAATTTAACTACGTTATGGTTAATAAAATATGCGATGTTGGAATACATTTTTTTAGAAGGAAGATCTAACGTAAATTAGAGAGGACTAAGACAAAAAGGTTTCAAGGTGAAACGTTATCGTTTAATTCTGAGAAGTTTGTGTCAAAGCGATGTTGGTCGTCTGATTATAGATTTTCATTTCCATTGATTGGCTGCTTATCGATGGATAGATTGTGACCTTGTACCCGCACGAATACAGTTACTATACGTGTTGTATTTACTGTAGAACAACATAAACTAGCTGTGATTGTCGGACATTCAAATAGATAAATCTAAAAAATATACGACCAAGTACTGAAACGAATTTTAAATACTTCGCTCCGTAAGCTTACAATCTCGTAAACGTCAAAATTTAAAAAGAATTTAGCCTTATCATTTAAGACTCTGTTTCATATTTAAAAAACGTTTCAATATTCTGCCCATAGTATGTTATTATAAATTAGTCTGAATCTACGCCGACATCCAGAGATATTGATAAATTTTGCACAAACCTTTCATATCTGAAAGCAATACGCCTTTACTGGGCACTATTTATGTTTAAGTTTCACAAAGGTTAATTCAATTCAAAGTCGCGCCTTTACTCATAAGAAGAATTAACTCAGAGTGTATATTTTTTGGGAAATTACGTTTGAAATTGAAGTTTGGGGTCTGTGTACACAGGTGGTTTGAGATAAGAGAGAAAGACGTCCTGTTTTATTTTTATTCTATTGTCTCGCGAGTTGAATTGTCGTTTATGATAAAAATGTAAATTTTGAGTTACTTTTTATGAATAAAGGTGCATTGTGTGTTACCACCTTAACGTTGACATATCATTTACTTAAAACAACATTATCATTCGTAAGATTTGTTCTTATCACTGATAGAATTCTCATTACATACGTTTACTGTTATCACATAGATATCAGGTGGAAAAAAATATATTACAAATAGAAACATTTATATTTAAGACGCCCTTGACGTTATCAAGTCGATTGAAATTTTAAACGCTGGAGTTTCCTATATTTATTCAGTTACATCAATGTTAACGGAAATATTTAGATACTAGCTTTTGCCCGTGACTCCGTCCGCGTGGAATAAAAAAAAAGGAGTAGCCTATGTGTTCTTCCAGAATATCCTCTACATCTATACCAAATTTCATCAAAATTCGTTCAATTGTTTAAACTACAAACTCTAACATCCATCCATCTAAACTTTCGCATTTATAATATTAGTAAGATTCTTTTGATATAAGTATCCAGATAATATCGAAGAATTTATTTTAGGTTATTATTCAAGTTTTTATAAACCACCAATGTTTTCCGAATTATATGTAAAATTATTATAATTAAGTTGTAAATAGTTTTTACATTTTTTTTTTGCTGCTGTAAAAAGCATAAAAGCTTTCAGTACCACTAGGGTATATATTTCTTTCTCATATCATTCTAATAAAGATCATTGCATTTGATAAAGTAGTTCCTTTGTGACTTTATCGAATGCATTGTACCTATTTTTTTACATATTTTTTTAATTTACTATTTTCGACGAAACTGATTTCATTTACAAAGTACATTATGATGATGATTGTACATTATTAAACATGATAAGCAGTAATTTGAAGCGTTAAAAACATATTTGTCCTCTCTCTTTCTCTTCGAGAAAAAAAGAGACAAAATGCTTTTAACATGAGTTAGTGTTGAATGTAACGGTAACAGTCCTAGTACAATCAAGAACATACATTTTTCAAACTGTGACTTTTTTTGGTAGAATATTCGTAGATTCTTGTAATTTACTGATATTTCCTTTAAACATTCCAACTTAACTCTAGGCTTGTGCCTATGGTTCACAATAGTCGAATGGCGGAACTCAACCCTCGACCGCAAGATCGGAGGTCCGTACCCCAAAGTATTAGGCTATTGGTGCTTACATTGTGACTTATGAAATCAGTTTTGTCGTTGTTATTAATTAAGAATATGAGTGAATGTGTTGTGTGTTGTAGTTTCGTGGCGGGTGTGATCCTACGCGAGCGTATTCCCGCTTTCGAGCGTATGTTATGGCGCGCGTGTCGCGGCAACGTCTTCCTGCGGCAGGCGGAGATTGATAGCCCACTCGAAGACCCTTCCTCTGTGAGTACTAGATGACCCTGACTTTGTCTACGTTTCATTGTAATTAAACGCTTAAATGAAACCTAGAAACGTAAATTCCAGATATGACTATTACGCTATTTAATTTTTTTAGGCATTGTAAATATTATATGTCGTATAATATTGGTATTTAGTCTGTATCTATACTAATATTAAAAAGAGGAGATTTGTATTTTTGTATGTATTAAAATAACTCAAAAACTACTGGGGCGATATCAAAAATTTGATCACAATTTTAAAGCTATGTTATCAAGTAACATTTCACGTGGGCGAAGACGCGAGCAACAGATAGTTCATAATAATGTTGTTTAGTGAAATGTTTCTGTTTTGTATGAGATTTATATGTATTTTATTGATGTGTGCTTTCAGTCGGACCAGGTGTACAAATCGGTGTTCATCATCTTCTTCCAAGGCGACCAGCTGAAGACGCGCGTCAAGAAGATATGCGAGGGTTTCCGCGCGACGCTGTACCCTTGCCCCGAGGCGCCCGCGGACCGCCGCGAGATGGCCATGGGGGTTATGACACGCATTGAGGACCTTAACACCGTATGTTCACTGTTTTTTTTTTATAGGATAAGATGGCGAAAGAACAAGCAGCCTGGTTTCAATAAAACAATATTGTCCATCTATATTTCTATGCTAATATTATAAAGAGGAAAGATGGATTGGATTGTGGTATGTATTGAAATAACTCAAAAACTACTGAGCGGATTTTAAAAAATCTTCCACCATTAAAAAGCTATGTTATCACTGAGTTATATAGTCTATACTATTTACTTTTTTCTATTTAAAGTCTTGTGCAACAGGTAGTAAACTATAAAAAGGTTGCAAATTAGCATACATACTTTCAATAGACAGTAGAGGATGGACAGAAATGATTATTTCCGTTCCCAAACGTTCCATTTTTCTCGAAATACATGCACGTGCAGGCAGGGTGATGCAGACTGTATTACCCCAGTACCCTATCTCCAAAGGAAAATACTCACTTATAAGATTTCCCAGGTGTTAGGTCAGACGCAGGACCACCGTCACCGCGTGTTGGTCGCCGCGGCTAAGAACATAAAGAACTGGTTCGTGAAGGTGCGCAAGATCAAGGCGATCTACCACACCCTGAACCTGTTCAACCTGGATGTGACGCAGAAGTGCCTCATCGCGGAGTGCTGGGTGCCCGCACTCGACCTGGAGACTATACAACTCGCGCTCAGGAGGGGCACGGTCAGTAAATCATACTTCATACTAATTAAATTGTTTAAATAATCGTGAGATATAACTTTGAGCGAAAATTAGAAACGGCTCAACTCACGCTTTTATACTCCGGTGACGGCACCGACTGGTTTCAGACCCTTTGGGGGTCCTTCAGGGCGAGTTTTAGTTAGCTTTTGTTTGCGGTCACGCGCCTCGCACTGTTCACACTAATATTATGAAGACGAAATTTTAGATGGATGGATGGATGTTTGAGTTTATAGCCTAAACTCTTGAACGGATCTCGATAAAATTTGGAGATGAAGAGCATAGTCTGGAGGAACACAGGCTTGTTTTTTTTTTGCACGCAGATGAAATCGCGGGCGAAAGCTAGTAATCATATTAAGATATTTAATTCTGTATCTACTGTAAACAAATTAGATTCTCAGTGATATAAGGGTATTTGACTTGTAATCTACAGGTCTTGAGTTCGAATGCCAATGTGCAGTAGGGTTTTACAATTTTACCGACGTCCTGTCGATAAAGTTGATGCAACCTGCAATCTGCAAGAAAATTCAAAATTATTTAATTATTATTTTATTTATTTGTCACTTAACAAAGCTTATTGACTACGATATTTTTGCAAGGGCGGCCTTGCCATAAGGGATGTTTTATAGGCAACCCTGTATATGCGTGAAATCAACTCGCCGTGGGCCAGCTTGGTTGATTGACTGTCATCCCTAAATTAGAGGCTGTACCCTTCAATGGGGACCTTCATAGAGCTGATGATGAAATAGATGTTTGTTGTATCAGGAGCGCAGCGGCAGCTCGGTGCCGCCGATCCTGAACCGCATGGAGACGATGGAGAACCCGCCGACGTACAACCGCACCAACAAGATCACCGCCGCCTTCCAGAACCTCATCTACGCGTACGGCGTCGCCTCCTACAGGGAGGTCAACCCGGGTACGTCACACATCTAGCCTAGCTCAGACAGAACTTACATTAGCCTAGTTTAGGCAGGAATTTGTCTAGGTTATACAGGATTTAATCTAACTGAGATGAGATCTAACGTAGCTTAGACAGGATATAGCTTAGTTGAGATATGACTTAGCCAGAACTTACCCTAGTTTTAGTAGGATCTAGCCTATCGTTGCAATAACTTAATCAGGACCTAAGCTAACCTAGAATGTCCTAGTGTCTGTTCATAATAATGCTAACATGCAATGGTCTATTTGTTTCGTTCTCTGAAAATATTTTTTTAAACCTTCAAGGAGTAATTAATTAGTTCCATAATTTTTAATTAATTTGTGTATATCGTGTTACAGCTCCGTACACGATAATAACGTTCCCGTTCCTGTTCGCGGTGATGTTCGGCGACCTGGGCCACGGCGCCATCATGGCTGCATTCGGCTTCTGGATGTGCTACAAGGAGAAGCCGCTGCAGGCTAAGAAGATCGACAGCGAGGTACATACACTTGCATTACTAAACTTTGAAAAAAAATTATATATAAAAATAGTCCTAATATCAGCATTTATAGCGTTGAAAATCTGTTCAGTAGTTAAGGCTACAAACTCTAACAAACATCCATAAAAACTTTTGCATTTGTAATGTTACTAGGTTTCCGTGACTCTGTCTGCGTGAACCTATGTGTTTTTTTACATATATGCCAAATGTCATAAAGATCCGGTCAGCAATTTATGCTACAAACTTTAACAAACATTCATCCAAATAAACTTTCTCATTATTATTAGTTAGATTACAAGCGATAATACAACCACATTCTTATTGTTATTTCAGATCTGGAACATCTTCTTCGGCGGGCGGTACATCATCCTACTGATGGGTCTGTTCTCCATGTACACGGGGCTGATATACAACGACATCTTCTCCAAGAGTCTGAACATCTTCGGCTCCTCGTGGCGGAACAACTACAACAACGACACGCTGCTCGCCAACAAGCTGCTGCAGCTCAACCCTGACTCCGAGGACTACATTCAGACACCCTATCCCTTCGGCATTGATCCTGTCTGGCAGGTACGGTTTGAAGGTGGCATTATGGTGGTAGACATCTGTAATTGTTGATGGTGTCTGACTGGATGCTTAGGATACTTCCTCTTTCTATGGATTCCCTCCTTTGTCTTATTCTGTTGGAAAGGACAAGGATTTAGTCGTTTTTACCCACGAATTAAACTTTCAAGTTTTATATTTACTATTTTGTTATATCAACGTATCCATAGGTACCTAATTTAGAGTACCTAATTTAAATAGCAATTGGAGAAAGGCCTATCAGAATCACTATATTAGGTTAAATTTTCTTAAAGTTGTCACCATCATGTCAATATTTCTATCATTATAACTATGGATGTTTTGGAAACAATTTTTGTTGCTAACAAATGGCAGCGTAATGTCATAGTTTTTATTAATATGTTTATTTTTCTCTAGCTCGCTGAATCCAACAAGATAATCTTCATGAACGCGTACAAGATGAAGATCTCCATCATCATCGGTGTCTTCCACATGCTGTTCGGTGTCTGCATGTCGCTCTGGAACCATGTGTAAGTGAAAACTTACTTAATGCAATAATAATAGTTATAATAGTTTGTCAGGTTATGGCAACACCGATGTTTTTAAAAAAACCATTCAAAATAGAACCAAAAAGTAATATTTTCTGATTAAAATTTTTTATGTATTATTAGTTTAGTTACTCATAAATTCGAGTCCTATAAGACAGGTTTTAATTTTAAAATGTTATACTAAACTTTCCTAATTTTCCAACAATGTGTCGTTTTTTCAATATTTTTTTCAATATAATGTTTTATGTTTTTAATGTTCAGGTACTTCAAGCGTCGCATCAGCATCTACGTGGAGTTCATTCCTCAGATCGTGTTCCTGACGGTGCTGTTCTTCTACATGGTTCTGCTCATGTTCATCAAGTGGACCACCTACGGGCCCACGCCCGGCAAGTTCGGAGACCCCAGTACGTGTCCACTGCCCACACTGTACACTTTTTCACTACACGGCCCACTTGTCAACTACACTATCCACGTACTGCCCACTATTGTCCTCTACACTATCCACGCACTGCCCACTATTGTCCTCTACACTATCCACGCACTGCCCACTATTGTCCACTACACTATCCTCGCACTGCCCACTATTGTCCTCTACACTATCCTCGCACTGCCCACTATTGTCCTCTACACTATCCACGTACTGCCCACTATTGTCCTCTACACTATCCTCGCACTGCCCACTATTGTCCTCTACACTATCCACGTACTGCAAACATACTTTTTAGTGTAAATTGTACATTGTGATATGTTACGTGTCAGGTGTGATCAAGACGTCCGGTTACTGCGCGCCCTCGGTGCTCATCACCTTCATCAACATGATGCTTTTCAAGCGCGACGAGAACGCGCGTCCGCAGTGCGACGAGTACATGTTCGCCGGGCAGATCGGCCTGCAGAAGGTACTCCTACCACGTCCTACCATATCCTACCACATACTACCAGATTATACCAAATTCTACCACATGCTACCACAACTCCGTTTGTACAACATTCAACATTATCTGTTCAGCAGTTTATGATATGTGTAATAACAAACATCCATTCATCTAAACTTTCACATTTATAATTAGTAAGATGTCTATGATGCTTATGACGTCACTGAATGTCAAATTTCGTTCTAAAAATGTTAATTATTTAAAATTATTATGATGATTATAATTGTTTTGTGTCATTTTAGTAATTAGAAACCCAATTATCAGGTTTTTTACTTTACACACTAGCCTATATTATATACAGGATTATATTAAATTAAGTGTACTAAAAACGTGCTATTTTTAGAGATCGATCGCACATTCGTTGTTTATCGTGTATTTTAAAGTGTTATTTGTATTGTGTTTCAGTTTTTCGTGATCGTGGCGCTGCTCTGCGTGCCCGTCATGTTGTTCGGCAAGCCGTACTTTATTATGCAGGAGCAGAAGAAACGCGCTGTAAGTACATGTATTGTCTATACTTCTATACTATTATAATAAAGTGTCAACACACACTTCTTTGTTGCCTAAGATGTCAGCAATCACAGCATATTTTTGAATAATTCTTTCTTAAATAAAATACTCTACACTTCCGTCACGTTTTAGGCTATATATTTTCAAGCTATCAAACTTGGAGAGTAAATAAATTAGTAAAAACCGTCATGCGGAAAAGGGACAAAAACTACAAGCTAATAGCAGCAAGGTTGCTGGTAACGGTAATTGTTATCCAATATCAAAGGCTTTTGTTGTTATTTGTTTATTTTTTTGATAATTTGACAAATGTGAACAATAAAATAAAGCAACTTTTAAACAATTTATTTAGGTGATACTATCGTTTAAAACTCAGAGCGACACTTCTCATCAAGACTCAGGATCGCGCGCGAATATCAATCCTCCTGATGACATTGACAGCTGTCAGTTAGAGAAGTGACGTTTATGGCAATAATCTAGTGTAGCGCCAATTCTACAGCGCGGTACTAATTTTTAAACACTCGACACTGGCCTAATCCGCTAAGGGAGTGCCATAGACAAGAAACTGAACTGAACTAAACTGTGGTACTAATTTTCTTCTTAACACTACAAATGAATAATGTTTACAGCAAAGTCAGCCGCTGCAGAACACGGAGGCGGCGGAGAACGGCGCGGCGGGCGGCGCGGGCGCGGTGCAGCCTGCTCACGGACACGAGAACGAAGAGATCTCTGAAGTCTTCATACACCAGGTTACTAATATGTGAACATTAATTACTTTGATCTGTATAAAAAAATTTGATTTACCATAAATGTTTTGATTACGAGTCGCCCAAGTCTCCCTTAGAAGAATGAGTTTCCGTCTTTATTGACAAACTCAGTCCATTCGTTTCTGAAATTACACGGAACAGATTCGACTTGCCGACAGATAAAAATCCTAAAATTGGATTTTCGTTACTATATAGTAGATATTTTGTAGTTTCCTATTGTCTCGAGACGATAATGATTATTGCAGTATTTATGTTTTAAGTTTCCCCTGTGTGTGTGCAGGCGATCCACACGATCGAGTACGTGCTGGGCAGCGTGTCGCACACCGCCTCCTACCTGCGGCTGTGGGCGCTGTCGCTGGCGCACGCGCAGCTCGCGGAGGTCGCCTGGAACATGCTGCTCAGGAAAGGTACCTTATCTTCCCTTCCTTCATGTCTGTGCGGACACACACAAACACACTACAACTACGATTATAAACAACGCTTATTCAAATATTTTATTATTTAAAATCATCTAAATGTAACTTGCCAAATATAACACTCAGTGAATCGGAACACCTATCGGATGTGACGTCACGCTCGACGTGGTCACTGTTGATATTTCCATAGTGCAGTATTCATTAGCATAAAATTCAGAAATTACGAGTATTTTGAAAATACTTAATTTAAATATATTTTTTTCTCGACAATATTATGGTTTTTAAATAATTTATAGATAGCCATATTGTGATACATAAGCAATAATGTAATCATAAACATAACGACTGATTTGCGAGTTAAAATTTTGTAAAACTATAAAGTACTAAAAATATAGTTGTACATATAACATCCACGTCCACGTACAGGGGTAAGCAACAATTAAAAATTTGCTTCATTTCCAGGTCTGAAGTCGTTCGGGTTCCAGGGCGGCATCTACCTGTACGTGATGTTCGCCTGCTGGGCAGCCATCTCCGTCTCCATCATGGTGCTGATGGAGGGCCTCTCCGCCTTCCTGCACACCCTGCGTCTGCACTGGTACGCACCCTGCACCCTGCAATACATAAAACCTCCTTCATAATATAGTACTCTAAACAAAAAGCGATACGAAATGTCATACATGTAAAAAAGGACTGGCGTTAACAATATTTTTGTAAACAATATTTGTACTTGTGATTTCTCATTCTCTTTTTGTGTAATATCACATAGTTCCTTATCTGAAAAGAGTAAGAAGAGAACGAGAAAGCGAGCTTTGCATGTATGGTAAGGGGAAATGTCCTCTATCACTGTGTCCTTTTAACAATTTTACCGCATCTACAATTGCTCAAGTATTTGGGAATCGGTCATTTTGCTATTGTACATGAGCTGAATGGTTTTTAAAATAAAATACAAATACATTTGTGTCAAAAATTTGTTTTAAAATTATTACGCAGTGTTCTCTCCAAGCTATATGCATAGCGACTTTTAGAGTTAATTCCGAGCTAACATGTTTGAAACCAATAAACCATTTTCCGAGGCTTTTCATAAGAAGGAATGCTTTAATTTAGGTAAATATAACTTTCCAGGATCGAGTTCCAGAGCAAGTTCTACGCGGGCGAGGGATACCTCTTCCAGCCGTTCTCCTTCGAAGTGCTGCTGGACTCCGCCGGACAGGCCGAGGAGTAACTCCTGCTAAACATACAAATAAATAAATAATATTTACTTCATGTTCAGTAGAAAAACTTGTAATTCAACTTTGATTGTTAGATAAAATTCGTCTGCGTGACAATTTGATGGCTCCTACGTAAATTGTCGTATGTTTAAAACAGACAATTTAAACGACATCAAACATTAATACTGGTTATTACATCTTCAAACTTTAACTATAGACAATTAAAATCTATTCTTCTTTTAATATAGCTTATAAATTGAATCTACGTGGAAAGTATTTCTAAAGGTTTTTTTTGTTATTTATTATTACAGGGAGCTTTGTCGCGAAGCGACGATAACGCCCCATAAAATCTTCAACAAACAAAACTTAATTAACTGACTGTTTTCTTAAACAGATGTCGGCCAACTTAAACACCATCCCGGCCTCATTTCTAAAGTTAATTTAAAAAAAACAAGGTGTGAATCGCAATTTGTGGTTTATGATAGTGTACGTAGGAACCATCGTCTTGTTTCTGTTGGTATTAAAGGAAATGTTAGAGACAATTTTCCAGTGCTTTCTCGTCGGCACGCGCGTTATTTCTTTATTTTATGTATTTAATATATGTAGATGTTCAATAAATCTTAGCTTCTATTTGTAATGTGTTTTAAAGTTTTCAATATTTACATATATCTATGCAAAAGAATTGTCTATGCTTTTAGGAATTATTAAAAAATAGTGCATGGACATTTAGCGATTTTTTTTATCTTTGTAGTGAGGTTTTATATATTGTTTTTTTAAGACAAAATGTACTTAAAACTTTTTATAAATTCACATCCAAGGCTCTCTTTTATTTTTTAAATGCAATCAGCACAATATAGAGGCGGTCATTCCAGTAGTTTTTGAGGTATATGTTTTATATAGTATATGTACACGAGTAGCGCAGGCTTCAGGTTATTGAATAAATGATGTGTTTAATCTATATTGTTTTATTTTTTTATCATTCAAATAATGCCTTATTCACATTATGCCAGTTTATCCGTCCGTGAGCAAAATTCATGCCAGTTCAACATAATTGTCCTACCGTACTGGCATGTCAACCATGCTAAGCTATGAAAAATTTTAGGATACATAAAACATTTTTTTTAATTAAAAACACTAAAAGTAATTGGCGTATGTCCAGAGTATACATATTTTCACAATTTTTAATAACGTAATGCACGCTTAATATGTTTAACACTAGCTTTCACCCGCGACTCCGTCCGCATGGAATCTGAAAAAAGCAACTCTTCCAGACTGTCTTCTATATCTATGTCAAATTTCATCGAAATCCCTTCAGTTGTTTAGGCTACAAACTCTAACAAACATCCATCCATCTAAACTTTCGCATTTATAATATTAGTAAGAGTAAGATTAGCACAAGCAATCGGTAAAAGAATTAGTAATTGTGATAAATAGCGTAAGACAATTTTCATCGTTCAGTCGTACTCCGCGCCGATGGTGATGCTGATGTCCCCGGGCAGCACGCGCGTCATGTGGTACCATCTGTTCGTGTCCACCACCACTGGAAAATAAGTGTTACATAAACATACTTCGCAAAAAAAATAAAGATTAATTTAGCATATAGATATGCAGTAGCAGTTCTAGTTAACAGTGCTCTGGGCGAGTTTTCTAAAAAGCCCCCTTTTACTCAAAGACGTAAAGAAGCTTTAGGCTTTATCGAGCTTAGGTCGTCACGTCATCTCTATCAGTTGTCATATCTGAATTCACTCCCTTAAAAATGTCCTCTACCACAGAATCCATCCATACTTCCTTCGCAATTCTGACTTTACAGCCATCATTCAACAAGACACGAAAATGTATGTCCGAAATATTTTTCTTAAGAAGTATTTATCTGTCCACTGCATAAACATTGTATGTTTTAAGATGAGACTTCAGCATTGACTGAACTGTTATATGTAGCAACGGTTTGTACTGACATATCTCCCCGGGGTGCACAGTGAGGGTGAGAGGTCGACAGGTGTAGAGGCACTCGGGTGGCGGCGCCAGCTGCCAGCGCTTGCGACCGCGCACCTGCGCCTGCCACGAAACGCGCCGCACAGAATCAACCTGTAAGACACACGTGAGACCAGTGTTACTGTGTGCTCCATATATCTTATGCAATGACGGAATAAATCAATACACAATTTGAAATCTATGCTAGTGATTTATTTTTCTTACCAGAGAGTTCATTGTAACAAATAGAATTTAGAAAGGAGTATCAAAAAATACAGGGTATGTCTGTTCTAGGCTTCTTACGTGCATATGTGCTCCTTGTCCTGGTCCGCCCATAAATATCCAGTCTATAGTATCACTCTCCGCGGTCCTCGGTAGGAAGTACGGCCGGTTGTAATACTGCCTCAGCCGGCGGGTTTCCTCGTCGTAGCAAGTACTCCAGCCGACGTACCACGGCGCGCCCGACAGATTGGCGCGCGCCTCGTCCATAGAGAACACCTCGCCCAATGACAGCAAACCAGATTTGTACGCGAAGAAGAAACACTCGTTGATCTTGGAGCCCATTTTACCGTTACGGTAGAAATTGGCGAAGAAATCGAAGTTGAATTCCTGAAAAAATATAATAGCTGTTAAAAACTTTCTTATACACAATTAAATCGCAATTGCGTAATTGTTATTAGAATGCAAATTTTACTAATATTACAAATTCGAAAGTGTAGATGGATGGATGTTTGTTAGTGTGTAGCCTAAACGGCTTAACGGATCTGGATAAAATTAGGTGCAGATGTAGAACATAGTCCGGAAGAACACAAAGGCTACCGACTTTTGTTGTTTTTTTATAATACCACGCGGACGGAGTTCTTAGCGAAAGCTTTTACAGTGTTAAAAATATCTAACTGTTACACGTAAAGACAAGCAGTTTTGGTCTGTAAATCTAAGCTTAGGGATTCTTTAAAGTACTTGATTGCAGAATTCAGCTGACTTTATCCTTTACTTTGATAGCTCTCCAATGCTGAGTCGCGTCGGTGACTATAACGGGTGTAGGGCTGTAGGCGTAGCGGCGCTCGAACACTTCGGGCGTGAGGTTAGTTAGCCTGGACACTTGTGCCACGCTGGCACACATTGAGCAGTCCTCCGGTGGTCGGAATAACGTGAGCGATGTCGACGGTACCTCTAAAGCGCATCTCTGTTGAAATATTGAAAATTGTTTACATATCGATTAATATTTGCAAGGAAAAAAGCATTTTCATATATCTTATATATTGTTTTCCCTTTTATCGGTTTTTGAAGTATATTACGCAGCAGTAAAGAAGTAACTCACCTCAGAAGCAAAACCTGGAGAAATCCACCAATATGTAAAAATAATAGTCAAAACAGCGACACTCAAATAACAAAACTTTAAGTTATGCCTAAAAGTTTTGGAAATAGGTGCCCCGTTACATTCTGGTAACACAAGCCGCGATGTATACGAGTTACTGAGTTTAAAACTATCTATTTTATGGAGTATTCTTAATAATTTAATTTCTGCTGATTTTAACTTCTTATCGCACAGCGTAGGCCGAGAGGAACTCATTTCGCTAATACTTTGTAGTGTCTCGAAACAGAATGAAAGGATTTTAATCCTTGCAACAGTTTATATACGCCAGGAATAACATAGAGCTGATCGAGTTTTTGGACATACGATCTTATAAATGGGTGAAACCCCACTGTACAATAAACCTTCTCTATCCAGTGTCATTCTTTCAAAGAAATTTCTTGTATTTAGCTTTACGAATTATACCAATCACCCGTATAAGATATAAATTCATCGCATAATCAAATTGTCTTATACATAATACAAATATTCTAAGGGTAAACAGAACAGGGACAAAACTTTTTATTTGTTTAAAACAAATGGTGTTTCCTATTGGGGTGATATGTAACGCCCCAAAAATCCCACTCAAAGCCAAAAAATATATTAAAGAGGACTATTGCGACATCTCTCGTGATATCCGTAGTCTCCCAGTTTATCCCAAACGTAGTCAGCGCGAGTCAATGTGAGTGAAATGAGTATGAAATTGGAATTCATTATCAGACCGCGACACTGCAGCTGTTGCCATTACACGGACCAACGCTTCATACGCTTGTTACTCAATTTACTCCTTTTCTAGATTTTACTTGTTTTATTTGGTAGTTGATCGATGAATTTTTCTTAGCCATGTTTCCTTTCTTGTTTTACAGTTTACAAGATAGTTGCAGTTTAACGTACATATTTATGTTAGAGGTAATAGTGTGCCAGTACCAATCATAATCTCTGTCTACCCCTCTGGTTGAAGAAAGGAATTACTTTGTTTTTTAACTCGAGGTAAAAATAATATTTTTTGTGTGGATAAGAGTTATATTACGGCTTCTAGCTACTTTGTTCAATTTTCATGCATTTGTTCAAAAAGTTCATGCCCTTCCATCTTGAAAATATGACCTAAAAAATGAAATTCGAACACATTCATCTCATTCGCTAGCAAAGCATGAGCAAAGATGGAGTTTAACAAAATATGTTATCTTTGTGAAAAGTCATGTCAATATGTCAATGTCAAACTGTAAGATAATTTATAAACAAAAACGTCAAAACACGCAAGTGAGCCGAATAAGTTTTTTAAAAATTGTGTTTAATTAACCTAATTTATAAACCAGTTTATAATTACTTAAATGATGTAAAACACCGTTAATTAAAAAACAGCAATATACAAAGTAACAATGGCAGTAATCCTCGGCGGTGGAATTGGCGGATTGTCCACCGCTTACTATCTGCTGAAAAACAATATAAGTAATAATAATAACTTGAAATTATTATTACTAGAAGCAACAAATTATTGTGGAGGATGGATAAAGTCAATAAAAACGAAGGATTACACATTCGAGCAGGGACCGCGGACTATCCGGCCTAAAGGTATCGTTGGATTGAATACTTTAAATATGATTCAAGACTTGGGTCTCAGCGAGCACATCTTCCCTATTAAGTCCGATCACCCAGCAGCTAAAAACAGAATGATATATGTTAACAATTCCTTGCATTTATTGCCATCTAGTTTAAAAGGCGTTTTCCAGACAAATGAACCATTTTCGAAGCCACTCATATATGCAATATTCAATGACTTGCGTAATCCGCATAAGCAAATGAAAGATGATTCGATTTATAATTTCGCCGAAAGAAGGTTCGGTAAAGAGATAGCAGATTATGCAATTGCTCCAATGATATGTGGCATTTGTGCTGGAGATGCAAAAGAAATATCAGTGAAGTTCCTTATGAAAACACTTTTTGAGTGGGAACAGAACTATGGAGGTGTTATGAAAGGTATGATGAAGTCATTCCTGAAGGGTAAAAATGATAATGACTTACATTTAAGTGAACTGGCAAAGAAAGCTCAGGAAGAGAAATGGAATGTGTACACAATAAAGGGAGGCATTGCAAACTTTCCTGCTACCTTACTGCAACATCTTAAAGAAAACAATGTTGATATTAAATTGAACAACAAAGTAAATAAGATAGAATTTGTGGACTCAAGTACTGTGAAGTTGTTCAATAGAACAGGAGAGGAGATAATAGCCAATCATGTGTATGCTTCCATTCCATCACATGCATTGGCAGATTTAGTCCAGAACCAGCATCCAGATCTGGCTGCAAACCTGAAAGGAATACCATTTGTAACAGTTGGCTTGGTTAACTTTTATTTTGATACAGACAAGCCTCTTATTTCTCCCGCTTTTGGTTTTCTTGTGCCTCCAATAGAGAACTCACCTATTCTCGGTGTTGTGTTTGACTCTTGCTGTCTTCCTGATCAAAATGGTACCGTTTTAACAGTAATGTTGGGTGGAAGGTGGTTTGAAGAAAAGTTTGGAGAGAAAGTAACTGAAAAAGAGTTGTTTGAGATAGCGCAGCGTGAATTACGTTCAATATTGAATATAGAGGAGAAGCCGGCGGCCCATCACGTTAAAATCCTAAATAAATGCATTCCTCAGTACATTATAGGTCATTATGAAAGAGTGGATAGTGTAAGGCAGTACATACAAGACCACAATCTGCCGATTTCTCTTGTCGGCAGCAGCTATGATGGTGTTGGCATAAATGATGTTATCTATTCTGCCAAGACTCAAGTTCAGTGATATACAACATATCAATAAACAAGTGTATACTCAAATAATTGTAAAATAAGCTTAAACGCCATTCCAGGCTGTACAAATTGACAGAGATTATTATGAAAGGGATAAATTTTATATAAGCATTTACTGACTGCTAGGCTAAGGCTTTGTTACGAATTTTTATTGGTTACTTTGTTATAGAAAAATAAAATAAACTTTTGCTAATATAAATACTCAAGTTACCGCGCGCAAAATAAATTTCATGGGAATGTTATTGAAAAATTCTCCACACATTTTTAAACTATGGGACAATATAAATGGGAATGATTTCACTGGTTTTATTTTTTTGTTTGTTTTTTATACACAGGTTGGTACTTATTAAAAAGATGATGTTAATTTGCTTTTTATTTATAAAAGTAGTTTAGTTCTGCATTTATTTCCTTGGAGCGTAAATATAGATTAAATAAAAAAACAGATGTTGGAAAGGAATATGAAATAAAACTACATTTACAAAAAACAACCTGTATTTATGCTTAAGCATATATAAATATAGTGAGAATGTGAAACTTTTATATAAAACTAAAAAGTAAAGTATAATAAATTACTAATACTTAAAAATCTCTTATTTTAATAATAGTGGAATTTCATGACAGTTTCTTTACATTTACAAAAAGCGATTTACATTAAATACATATGTTTCGTAATACATTACAATATTAAAAACTATAACTGTCTATATACTTACAAAGTTGAGGGTCATATACAAACTGTCTTTTAAAAATGTTAGAATTAAAAAAAAAAACATATCAATGAATTTACAAATTCAGTATTGAATAAATGAAACTGTAATTTTATTCTTTTTAATAGTTAATGAATTTCTGTGATTTAACATTTAACAAAGTTACCCTCACGTAGAATGTATGGATTTTGTTCTCAGTTTAAAAAGTGCACATTCGAGACTTAGCCAGGCATGAATTTGACAAATAGTAATAAAAGTACTTGAATTATTGTACTTTTGAGAGTTATTTTTTGAAAAGAATTTTCTCTTTAAGATTTGGTTCCATGTGTAAAGTTAAATAAGTTTTTTAACTTAGCGGCCAAGGTCAGTTCTATGCTGTTACTCTCCTACATTTAAAATCGTATTCAGTGGGCGCACGAATATTGTGACAAGCGTCATATCGGTCATTGATAAAGTTAAGCATTTGACGTAAACCAAAAATCTCATACTAATTTCGCCAAAACTATGACTGGCTTGTAGAAACAATTCGTGGAAGTCCACTGAGTCACACGAGCGTGTGACGTAAGTATTACACTCATTTTCCACTGAGTTATATAACCGCGAGGGTTTGGTTAGTGGAAAAAGAGGTGTAATGTCAGTCTACCCGCAGATATCTCCGAGATGCAGCAGGAGGGTGGCGTGCAGCGTGTGGTCGCGTGGCTCGTGCGCGGGCACGGCGTTACGGTAGCGGTACTGGAGCGCCAGCGCCGCCGTCGCAGCCCCCGCAGCCCCCGCCGCGCACTCCACCTGCAGCCGCAGCGCCACCTTGTTGGACTTGCGCCACATTATTATACTGCAACAAAAGATTCACAACTGAAAATATGTTTTTAACTAACTTTCGTCTTTCGCGATTCCGTCCGCGCGGAATAAAAAAAATAACAAAAACAAGTAGCCAATGTGTTTTTCCAGATTATCCTCTACATCTATGCCAAATTTCATCGAGATCTCTTCAGTCGTTTAAGCTACAAACATTCATCCATCCATCTAAACTTTCGCATTTGTAATATTAGTAAGATGTTACTTGGGTCACTGTTCCTTACATATGGATATGGATATGAGTCTGGTCCTTCGAGTTGGACATACCATGTCATTAATGCGTCAACATTTGCAGATGCGTTACCTAAATTAAGATGAAAGGGACGCACAGAAAAGGACATTACCCCCTACTTATGTGTCCACTCCCCTGTCTAATTCGTTTCCATGTACGAAAAAGTATATTTAGATGTTCTGCAGGCCTAATGTACAATTCACGCATGACTTATGTGTGACGGTAGTCCTACATTGGACTAACTGGAAGCGCAAAAGATGTTTTTGTTTGCTCTACCTGGTTCTAAAATCTATTTGGTCCTTCGAGTCGAATAATCAAATTCAAAAACGTACATTGCACACCTAAATAAGTGTTTATACGATGTGTGAAATGTATGTGTAATGTATAAGGACAATTTATGCGTGTACTGACTCGTTGGCGTCGTGCGTGGCGTCGTCGTCGTACTCCGCGGCGTCGTCGCGCTGCGCCAGCGTGAGCGCCAGGTCGGGCGTCAGCATGCGGCACGTGGCCGCCACGCAAGCCTCGCGCTGCACCGTCTCGCGCCACACCTCCTCCTGCACACACACACTATCTTACTAATACTATAAATGAGACTGTATGGATGGATGTTTCAATGGAACGCCATGAAATTTATCTATACTAATATTATAAAAAGAAAAGATTTGTATTCTTATATGTATCGGAATAATTCAAAGCCTACTGGGCTTATTTAAAAAAAAAATCTTTCACCATTAAAAAGCTACGTTATCGATGAATAACATAAACTACATTTTTTTAATTCGGCGTAGATGAAGTAACTGTCTACAGTGTTTTTTTAATTTTTTCTAATAATGAACTAAATGTTCAAAACGAAATCGAATTACTTTACATCACTAAAGAGGCTACAATTTCATGTTAACGTGCATACAAAAGTCATTATGGTCAAGTGCTAGTTTATTTATGATAATAATACTAACTTTATCCAAGTTGAGCGACTTCTCTAGCGAGGTGTCGAGCGAGTGCAGCGTGTCGGGCTGCGCCTTGTCGGGCTCCGCCCCCGGCTGCGGCAGGTCTGCGGGCTGCAGCAGTCGCAGCTGCATCTCGTGCGCGGTGGGGTTGCTGAGCTTCAGCAGCAGCTGGCAGACGCCGCCCGCGCGCACCGGCTCGCACGAGATTATCTTCACCTCCGGCACGTGGTAGCTGCACATTCAACTCACAACTAATACTTATCATATTTTTACTAAAAATAATAAACAAAATATCATTCCATGTGTATTTGGTCACACGAAACATTTATTTTCAAGAACTATCTGAATGACTTATAAAACTACTAGTATTCGCATGCAATTCCGTTAGTGTGAAAAATAAAAAAAACAAAAGTGAGTGGCCTATGTGTTCTTTCAGACTACCCTCTATGTCTGTACCAAATTTCATCAAGATCCGTTGAGCCGTTTAGGCTACAAAGTCTAACAAACATCCGTCCATCCATCCATCTATACTTTTACTTTTATAATATTACTAAGATTTATGTATAAAAGTATTCAGGTGCCTTATATAACTATTCAGGTAATTTATAGAAATTTCCCACCGGTATACTAGTATCCAAGTCACTTATACAACTATCCAAATGGCTTACAAGACAATCAGATTGACTTGTTGACTTACAATGCGAGCAGTTCAATTTTAAACTTGATAGAGCCAGGGTTGTACTCGGGCTTGGTGAGGTTGTGGTCGCAGGCGCGGCAGCGCTGGCTGCGCTTCACGCTCAGCAGCTTGGCCACGGGGTAGAGGCGCGCCACGCTGCTGGGCTGCCACTCCGGCGCCGCCAGCCGCTGCGCCATGCTCGTTACTGCGCATTGTGTGTGTGTGTGTGTACACGCACAGATACAGATACAAATCACCTCAACTATTTTATATTCTAAGGTGGCAGAAAAAGCGACAACCTGAATTCACTGAAATACCGACCGTGGCTTATAGAAACCTGCAGTTACATGCTTTGCCTACCTTTAATTGACAGAGGGGTCACATTGGAAGTGAATATTTCCCCTTCCTATGTATTCCCTATGTCAAATTCACATAAATCTTTGATAAGAAAGCAAAGCAAAGGGCAAATAATTTTTATATAAAAAGTTTTTATATAATAAACAAGGATTTCAAATTCTTTAGATATATAGTATTACTTTCAGTAAAAGAGTGAACATAAATTAACTTACTTTGATTCAAATTCAGTTCCTTTGTGTAGAATTCCTCGGACAATTCCTCTACCTCAGCGGAGGCCACACTGGGCACAAAGTTGGCTATAGCTGACATTGTGCTCTCACTGGAGGGCAGGCCGGCTATGTTCCTAGCCATTGCACCCGTCAATCCGGTTTTATCCTGATCAAACATTTTAACTGATACATTTTTCCTGATACTTTGCATGGAATTATAAAAAAATATTCACTAAAACTTTTATATTTTTTATAACTTTGTTGAAAAATTTGTTGACTGTCAACTGCAATACTGATTGAAAATCAATCTATACTATTATAATAAAGCGTAAACACACACTTTTTTGTTGCCTAAGATATCAGCAATTACAGCATATTTTTGAATAATTCTTCTTTTTTAAAAAAGGCCATACATTTACGTCACATTTTAGGCTATACATTTTCACGCTAAAAACCCTAATGTGGGAAAGAGACCATTAGTTGCTGCCAACATCAAGGAAGCAAGGTTGTCATCATATCGTCATTTTGACATTTGTAATTGATAATTTGACAAATGTAAACAATAAAATATAGTTTTTATCATTTCATGCGGGTGAAGCCGCACAGGAACGGCTAGTTAAAATACAATAAAATATTAATACTAACAGTAAGTGTAATATATTTCCCTCTGATGGCAAACTTTTTCCGTTCCCTGTCTAATTTCTCTTGCTTTTCTTGTTGGGCGATGGCTTTGTAGTAGTCAAGGAGTTGATTTACTCTGGTCGCATTTGGATTCACCCTTTCCGGCCAACCACCAGAAGCTACAAAAAAAAATAAAACTCAATACTAGTCATGTTAAAAATGTATCATAATAAATTATGGTGCACATATCTTGTGTTTTTTTGACTGACTTCCCAAAAGAAGGAGGTACTTAATTCGTCTCTGTGTGTGTTTTTTTTTTATTAACCATTCCAAATCAGAGAGGTTTATTATGAACTGCACATTTGAGATTAAAACTCACATATTTGAAAACATTTCTTGCAAAACTATTTAAAACCAGTGTCCTTGTTTACAATATTATTTTACTGCAATTTAAATGAGTAAATAATTATAAAATTAATATTTACCGACTGGCTGGTCAGGTATACCAACATCTCTTGATGTCCATCTACAATTAAAGCAGGACAGGTAATACATTTTCTTTGCTTGCTTATTTTCAACTTTAGAGTCTCCTGATCCTTGTTCTGGTGTTTGCCGCGGCTGAGCCAGTGTGGCCCTAGAATATAAAAAAATAATTTATACTATGTAGCAAAATAATTGCAGACTAGCTGTTCCCCTGCGACTTCGTCCGCATATAATTATGAAAATTTTATTTTATTGTTTACATGTGTCAAATTATCAATTGCAAATGTCAAAATGACATGACATAATGACAAGCCATGGCAACCTTGCTTCCTTGATGTTGGCAGCAACTTATGGTCTCTTTCCTACATTAATACTTTTATCTAAAATATTTACCCCCTAAGTTTAATGGCATGAAAATATATAGCCTAAAGTGTGACGTAAGTGTAGGGCTTTTATTACACTTTATTAAAATAGTATAGATGAAATATTGAATAGATGCAAAATAGAATGATTTAAATATATTATTGTTTACCTTGTGGAAAGTGTATGGAAGCAACTAGGGCATTCAAAACAACTGCTGCATCTGTTCTTTTTCAGCCTCGCTTCAGAAGATGGCATGTTCTCCAGACAGTTGGCACAGTAGTGGGAGTCCACCTAAGTAAATAGTCAGTATAGCTTACTGAATAATCACTACCAAATTTGGATTAGCACCCCACCCACAAAGCAATAATTTACAAACGTTTCTACCAATTGAAACTTTATTTCTTAAAGTGTGTAATAGTTGCATTATTTATAATGCAACTATTACACACTTTTTTTACTTTAGTAACTAAACCTAATATTTCAATTACTTAATGAATTTATTCAGTTCACTTACTTCATGGCATATACAGAAGCCGCAACGTATCTGCAAGCAGTGGCGACAAAAATACAAGCTTGTGATCGGTTTGATCTGACCACAGGAACAAACGTATTTAACATAATCCGGCTGGGTCATATAAGCCATGGCTATACTACTTTACGGAATTTAATTTAGAATTCGAAAGTAAATTATTACAGATATTATAATGTAAAACCGTAATGAGTCAGAAATTCAGACTGACATTGACCATTGACATCAAATTATGTCAAAAAAGTTGAAGTTTCACTTGACAGTTAAGAATTGCCATAAAACAATGAACACGGCTTAAGAACTGCTAAGAACGATTAAATATGAGTGCTGTTGTTGAAAGATACATTTAGTACAATTTTTAACAGTAACGTATTGATTAAATGTGAATAAATGATATTTAAAACTCAAAGGAAATCTTATTAACGAAAGATTTGGCTGATACACTGACATTATAGGAATAAGATTACTGGCAGCACTGATTGAGGGCGGTGTATTTGAAATTTGTCCTGTAATTTGGGAAGTTAACGTTCCATATTAAAATAAGTCATAGGAGACAAGACGATTATGCATAATGATTTTATTCCTTTTCCTATTCAAATTTTCCTTGCTCTTACAGTATAAGTTTGATTTAATGTATCCAATAGTTACTAACATCTGCTTAAACCGTTGCTATTTATCAAACTTATTCAAGAAAGAAACTGTTGTCAACGAACATATGGGCAATTCATTAGTCGACAGACTAAGGAAACAGCTCGTTAATATACAGCTTTATTGGTAACATGTTAGAATTAGGAGTAATAGGTTTCTTAATATATTAGTAAATTAGATGAATGTCCTAAAATAATGAATTAAGCGACGATAGTCATATCACGTATGACCCACTCCTGTCGTTCGTTTTGCGAACGATATTAATGCGCGGATTCCTGACACGCAGGCCCGTGGCGGGAATTTTAACCGCGAACTTTTTATGGCATGCCAAGAGGAACCTACGTGGACAGGCTCTGCTTTCTAATGCTGTAATATGTTGCGAAACTTATCGAGGGATCCAATTATGTCATTCGTTTATAGGTTCACCATGATGTGCCTTTTGGATTCTAGTTTATTTCACTGTTTAATTCGTGGAACAAAACTGTAATATTATTTTTTTACATTCATCTCGGACACTGAGAATCAAGCAAATGATAGATTTAGTTACTTGGGAATAGTTTTTGCTGTTGCATTATGTTTGACGAATGTTAAGTTAGACAGTCTTAGAAAGACCTTTTCGTCGACACATTTTGTCTAATGCAGTTTAATTGTTTACAACTAAAGCACTAAGAAATATGAAATGGGAAATGTCCCAGATAAAGAAAAATTTATGGCGAATCTATTTGTATTAATTACCCGTCGCAAAGTCGCTTGGGATTCAAGTTTAGCCGACGTTTAAAATGGTCGCTCGAATATTTATTACGCGTTAGCGCGATTGATTTGTGACAGCGATGAAATGAATCGACTGTTCGTTACAAGAATTCATTTGTATTTTTTTGTCATCATCACGCTTGTTAACGAGTACGAGGTAGAGTGTGTAAATAAGCATTATTTTGATTGGCAGTAGTTAATTGAACAAAATGTGTTTGTTGAAAAATTCTACCAGAATTTAACAATAGTGAGTAATCCACGAGACTAGTATACACGTTGCAAATAAACTGGATTTAGAAAGACGAAGAACATAATGACAGATTACAGTAATGAGAAATTCTATGCACTAACATTTCGCATTTCGTAATGTGAGGTACATTTTTGGCTAATGCAGAATGTTAACCTAGTAAAACACTGCGATGCAATTGTGCATATTTTCTCGTAGTCTTAGTAAGGTGCTATACAGACCTATTATAAATTCTCCAAGATGAATATAAACATTTGAAAATAGCCTTTTTGCACCGCTCACAGTATCTAACATTGTCTTCTTTCATTTATGGCGTTGTGCCCTTTCCTCTTATCTTGTATTTTAACTATAAAGACTTGTTTCGTTACGTACTTTCGTAAACAAATCTATGTAGAGATTTACACTCATCAAATAGAATCTAAGTTAACTAATAAATCATAATAATATTATAAATGCGAAAGTTTAGATGGATGGATGGATGTTTGTTAGAGTTTTTAGGCTAAATGGATTTCGATGAAATTTGGTAAAGCTGTAGAGGATAGTCTGGAAGAACACAGGCTACTCACTTTTGTTTTTTTTTAATTCCACGCGAACAGAGTCACGGGCGAAATCTAGTAACTAATAAATAAGAATAACATTAACTGAGACAACAGTTTTAAGTTTTCTTTTGTACTGCGGCCCTACATAAAATAATATAATATAATTTACTTCATTTATTAATGTAAACGTAACCGATTTTTGTTCCATTATTCACTTTCACTCATGTATATTTTATGTAATACATAGTTTTGTGATCGGAATTAATTTAGTACGTAAGAGTGGAAGGAGGGCATTGGGGCGGATGCGGTTTGGATGAGTTGGATACAACGGCTTGGAATTATCTGGTCTTCAAAGATATCTCTATTTATTGACGATTTCCTTAATGTACTACTTATTTACTACGATATAAAAAAAATTACTAACGGTCATTTTCTGTTGCAGGAGTCAAGTTTCCGTAGTGTAGCGGTTATCACGTGTGCTTCACACGCACAAGGTCCCCGGTTCGATCCCGGGCGGGAACAGTTAAACTTATTTTTATTTATCTATCATCAAGTAATATTATAAAGAGAAAGTATCTGATTTTTGTATGTATTGAAATAACACAAAAACTACTGGGCCGATTTCAAAAATTCTTTCATCATTGAAAAGCTACGTTATCAGATACTAAGGATACATTTTTTAATTCTACATGGACAAAGCCAACAGCTAATGCCTTATAAAATACTATTATTATATTTAAATTACACTCATTTAGGAATTTTGTTGTTCAATAATTCAAATTTTACATTTCTATTTAAATATTATGTGTACAATTTACATCCCAACGACATCCCAAGTTCCAAGCTCCGGCTAAGTTTGTTTTTGGCGCGAAGCCGGTTTTCCTAATACATTCTAATTCCCAATCAAATGTTTAATTAATTAACAGATCCGATATATCTTATTTCAATAAACAAAAAGTTGTAAAATCGCTTTGGAACAACAGGAAGTGAATTCCACCGGAAATATGCAAACATTAAAATGTAGGTAACCTTAAAATTATATTGCACGATGTCGTTAAAATTTATCATCAAGTTACCATTTCTAAATCACTTACGTATACATATGTATGTACGATAATATGTTAATTATATAAAGTAACAATTTTGTCTCGTAATCACAGAAATATTACGAAGAATTCAACTCTGAAAATCAATAATCTTTGCACGTAATATTTTACGATCAATTTAGCTTTTTTAATTTTTGACCGACTTCCCAAAAGAAGGAAGTATTCAATTCGACGATATGTTTTTTTTTTTATATGTAAATTAATAGGTCAAATCTTAATAAACAATTATCTTCGCAATTTAAAACTATGTAACATTATTGAGGGTTCTAATTGAAAAATATTATCAAAATAACTGACTTCAAAATTCAACTACGTCAATAAAAGCTACATGCCAATCTATTCAACTACAATGTTACACATCTACTTTTTAATTAGAATGCTGTTCCAAAGGCGATAAATACAAGACGAGATTTGTCTGTGGTTAATCTAATTGACTCATATGGATTTCCTCGTTACACTCTTGTTTGACTTGTTGTTCAAACTAAGATTTTCTCATCACCTTTTATGGACTAATACTTACAAAAACAAAAGAAAGTTTAGTAAAATGTTTCAAGAATTTACAAACATTGATTCATTTAAAAGTATATCAACGAAATATTTAAAAGCAAACTTTTGCCCTGTTGAACTTTACGCAAACCATTTCAAATAAGTTATGGTAAAGTCGATTTAACTACAGACTTACGGTGAATCTGTCAAAGTTGTTATTGTTAAAGTTTAAGTGATTACAAATTGTCTTAAATTGAAAGTTAAATATTTAATTATTCGGCACACATCGTCCGCAGGTCCGCGGGGATAAGCGAAGGTCGCTAGGATATCGTCGCGTTGAGCAATGGCGCTCGCGTCGCGCGGCCGCGCGTGCGCTGACAGACATTTTGCCGCCAAACGCCGCAGTCGTTGTTACGTCCGAAAATATTTTGACATTTAGTTTTTTTTTTATAAATTGCCACTATCTTTTTATTATTAAAAATAGGCAGAAGTAATGGTGCATTTTACCATAACAATTTAAATAAAATTTATTACGTATTTTTCTAAAAAAATACGTAACAAATAATGACGAATTAAATATATTTTGGTGATAAGTTAATGCAGTGCAGTGGTGTTTGCGTGATGTGTTCAGGATGTGGCTGGCTCTCGCTCTGCTGTTGGTCCTGACCGATGCTCTCGCATCTAACTCCAGCATCCCAACATTCGCAGATGTGGTGAGTAAATAAATACAACAGCTTTAAATGGTGTGATTATTTGTTACTTGCATTTGATATAAACTCGGTATTTCCTATGTTTTACTGCCCCAAGTTAATTAGAAATGTCTAGCGTCTATGGCTTGCACGATAATTGTTTATGAAGTCTTAAGTACATTTAAGAAAGGCTCATTTTGCATAATCTGGTAGCCCGTAATTCACAGATTTATTTCAATTTGTCTACGTATCCTGTCACGGTTTTCGAGTACTAAATAAAACTTATATGGTTTAAATACATTATTACTCCGCCAAACTGCATATTACATAAATACGCAATATACCGATGTAATCATTTTAATAAAACTTATTTTAGCACTTAAAGAATACTAATATTAATAACTGTCCACAAGTAATACAATTGCTTATACGTAAATGCTAATTGCTTAAAGTTTGGGTCAGGCGAAGTAAACTTATATAATTCGATGGCCCAATTTGTTTATGCCGTTGTAATGTAACGCCATATTAAATATGCTAAAATAATAGCGTCTAATCGTTATTTTCATTAGCATTTTGTTTTTTATTAATGACGTTAAATAACGTACCGTTACGATATACAGCGCGAATACCGTGATTTACGATTTGCTTTAAAAAGCTTTCAACCCTAGACAGTATTTACGAAATATTTACTATGAATTTTATTCAATTTCATATTATGTAACTAGTAATTAAATAAATTACAAGACAACCTTTGCTTTTTATTTACTAGCAGATTAATGACACAGTAACGCGCTTTATAACCTTCAAACCTCAAATTATAATTATGCATAATAAATACAAGACTTTAATATTGAAAGTTAATAGATTAATTCTGTTCTGATTTTGTATTTATTTATATTATAGGATACAATTATAACTACTTTATAATTCATCAAGGACAAAGAAATGTTTAACGTGCGGTTGCGTTCAGTAAAAGTCGTCGTCCCTGTTACTTGCGAAATATATCACTGAATTTATTGGACTTCCTTATAGCAACTGGATTTCAAAATAAACTTCAAACGCGGCTTAGTAAAGGTTTAACTGTTCTTAGTGGATTATAAAAATATTTGAAAGCGAACGTATCTAAAACAAAACAGTAAATAGTAACAAATATGACTAACTAATACGTATATCAACTAACAGATTGCATTTGTCATTAGCTCAAAAAACGTCTTTTGAGGGGCTCGAAGCTTATCCTAAGAGTTGACTAGGCCATAGTCGCGCTGGAAATAACTACAGTTAAGTTTTGTTGATGGGCTATTTCGTTATGCCAATAACATTATTGTTAGGACCAAAGTACTATTAATAAATCTAGATAATCTCTCTGGGATTCTAAAAAATCTAGAGTTTGTAACGGATATTCATAATATTGGTTCGTTGTATTGATGTAATTTATAATCTATGCTCATTACTCTAGGTCACAAGCGTTTAGTAAAATTAAGACATATTAGTAGTCATTTTATCCACAGATTTTTAACATTGTTGTTATGTTTTATATTCGTTTTTTCAACAATTATGTTTTCTAATGCGTTTTGTAATTCATCACATCTCATAAGTAATAATTGTACGTCGTATATATTTACATTTTTATTGAATAGTTTATTATTTAAGTGTTCTTACATAAACGTACATCGCGTCGTTACGGGCTTGTTATCGAATTATTGCTGGTTATTTATTACCATCTATGTATTTAGTTGTAACGTAACAAATATATGTAAATATCTATGAAGAATTTTTTTATAAAACTGATTAGTTACAGTTATTGAGTAATATTTTATTAGTTGACATACTTTTACTTAAATGTTTAATTTTTTTTGCAATCAACTCGGATCTTAAATCGCGCTCGGAAAGCTTTTTCTTTTATAATAAGATTATTTTAAAATTGGACAAAATCTTCACAATTGTAATTTATCACACGCACAATTACGTAATTTGATTCAATTCTTTTCTCATACCTTATTCTCGAAGATACGTACAAAATGGCTACTAAAGCGAGCAATAATTAACCGGGTTAAATACAAGTGAATATTCAAACATTAATTAATTCAAACTTAAGCAATTTATATTATAACAACGATATACTCATTATGTTAAATAGCACCAAAATAAAATGAATGTAATCTCTCAGCCACGCAGTTACTAAGCTCATATGGAAATGTTTAAAAATTAACCGTAAACTAGATTTTAGTTTTATTTTAAAGAAAACATATTTAGGTAAGTGTTTCCGTCCTGTTTTATCCGCATAATATCATAAGTCATTTTATTCTTTACGTTCCCTAAAACTTTAAGGAAATTTTTAGATTTTCAGTAAAGATGGCAACCTTGTTTCGTTGCTCCTATTGGCTTGTAGTTTTTTTGTTCTTTACACGCACATAATTTTTTTTAAAATCAATTCACCTCTGAGTTAAGACAATTCAAATAGCTATATAGCCTAAAACGTGTAATAAATCAAAGTTTTTTTTAACTTTTATTACATAAAAAATAATACAGATTTATAAAATAAATGTTGTGTTTAAGCACAGCTGCGTAATCACACGTGTTTGTTGTCGAAATGTTGTCGCAATGCGCCACACTGGAAAGTTTTAAAATAAGATCACAGGTGAATCATTTGTTAAAATATCGTCAGAAAGAAGAAATTCCATCATCAGCTCACTATACGTCACCTCAGAGAGGTTTGGAGAGGTTAGGCATCCGTCCTGAGTAATGATGACTGAAGGAAATGTCAAAGATATTGGCCCACTGCGGATTGACTTAAAGAAATTGCATATAGTTATAAGGGATAATAAACACGCTGCTTGCAGCCGAGGTCAATGAATAAGTTAAGGATCTTGTAACGTATGTCTTGTTTGTATTGTTAGGTCTTAGTAATTGTATAACCGTTTCACACGATCGGCCTAATCGAAACGTCTCTAAATCTGTCACAATACTTCTAAATAGCAAACATTATGCATCATTGAATTGCAACACCCGGCTTAAAACTGCGTTTTGCATATTGATGTATGCCAAGTTTATTTTAGATTGAAAAATCAAACCTTTGTTGTTGCTTATTACAGAACCAGCTGTTCCCGTACGGCTTCACTCGTATGAAATTATAAAAACTTTATTTTATTGTTTACATTTACCAAATTCTCAATTGCAAATGGCATTCTATGGCAATCTTGCTTCCTTGATGTTGGCAGCAGCATATTGTCTCTTTCCCCTATTGTGTTTTTTATCCAATTTATTTAACCCCTAAGTGTAATATCTTGAAAATATATAGCCTAAAGCGTGACGTAAGTGTAGGGCTTTTTATTAAAAAGAGAATTTTTCAAAAATTAGCTGTAATTGCTGACATCTTAAGCCACAAAGAAGTATGTATTTACGCTTTATTATATTAGTATAGAAGTATAGATAGATAACTTAAAGTTATTGTTATATTTTCAAATATAACCATAGAACTTATATTTTATCACATAGTTTGGGTAAAGTAAAATAATCTTTTCGGATGTATAAATACAAAAATTCTATCGAAATTCAAAGATTGTTTTTTGGATTACCTACATTTTGTAGTTTCAGAAATTAATTAGCAATGGAAAGTTTTGGCTACTAATCGTTTTGCGTTATAAGGTTTTGTAACTGTATAAAGTGGGCAGGAGCCTTGACTTTATTAGATGGATTATAATTCATTTTGATGCAATTCGCATCTCGGCTTTCTGCTCTTGTGTACGTATGGTTATAGTTCGGTTGGTATTACAACTTATTTGGAAATTAAAGATTTAAAAGCCTGTAATAATTACTTAAACGTCTTTCATAATTCTTTAATAGTTTCTTAACCGAGTAAAATAATGAGAAGGATCTCAATTCGTCTGTATTTTTTATATTAAGCGCACTTACAATGTTCACTTTCAACTGACTTTATGATGTCATTTAGAATCATCCTTACCAATAATTAATTTTATAATTAACTAGCTGTTCCCGAGTGATTTAATCCGCATGAAAATGTAAAAACTTTATTTTATTGTTTACATTTGTCAAATAATTAATTGCAAATGTCAAAATGAGATGACATGATGACAACATTGCTTTCTTGATGTTGGCAGCAACTTATGGTCTCTTTCCCACATTAGGGTTTTTATCTAAAATATTATAAAATATATAGACTGCTGACTGCTGCTGACATTTTAGGCAATAAATAAGAGTGTGTTTACGCTTTATTATAATAGTATAGATTGAAAAACTAACCGGACTTGTAGTGACAACCCTATGAGACTTAAGGACTCTGAATCTGAAATTTAATTAAAAAACATACTATTGTTTAAAACCATCCTGAATCAGTCGCATAAAGACGACTAACAGTGGTAGTGCCCGCTTTAACATGTTAGCACTGCAGGGCACGCCCGGTGTAATACTACGACCACACAGAAGACAGGCGTGAAATGGAACCAATTCCGTGTTTCGTCTGATGAGTGTGGTGCCGGAGGCCTAGTTTAAGTCCCTTTCTTTTTGTCACCCTTTTTTTAAAGGAGAGGATGGCAACGAGAAGTAGATTTGACGGTGGAGGAGATGCATACGAAGGGGGCATATCCTTTTTATGTGAGTCTCCTCCGTTGAATAAGGGCAGGCAACGCATCTGCAATTGCAGATTTTTATGGGCAGCGGTCGCTTCGCCATTTTGGTGGATTCAGGTGGCCGCTTGCTCGTTTCCCACCTTATGTTAAAAAAAAACTAAAACTTGTAATATGCTTTACAGTTATGCAACTATCGCACGTACACGCCCTTATCAGATTTATGCAAATGTGCTTATTTGTGTCGGCCCTAAGTTAATAGTATGGAAACATTTTTGAAGATAAGCGGAATGTTTTCAACATTTAAATGTGATTTGCATTTTTAGTACTGATATGTGTAACCTAGTACCTTCTACGAAACAGTGTGGGAAGATTCAAATATGAAAACTTTGTTTTTTATATATTTTTATCGTATTTGATCTACGATTACCAAAAACAATT